ATCAAATACAAATTTTATTTTCGTCAAAACATACGTGGGTCATAACGTGACGTCACAAATAACATTTTAATCGAAATTTTTCTTCCCCTATTTTCCAAGATGGCCGCTGGGAATAAGAAATAATAAGCAGAAGTTGCTTGGGCGTACAGAAAGCAAAGGCAACAGGTGTTTGTACCAACCGAGAAAAGAATAATAGCAAAACTTGTGTGGATATGTGTACAGTTCATTCCAATTTTTATTATTATTTGTGTTTCTGTGCTTTATATAGCTAGATGATTTTTCCGTTTCAGTATAAATAAATGTTTCGTTAAATTAAACAGAATGTAGTTAAAGGAAAAATAATTTATCGTAAATAATTTTCCGGTTTCTCATTAGTTTTTGATATGGATATTATCTGTGTAACGGTACTGAAGTTTTTCTTTCTTTTTAATGTGACAGAATAGCAAACGTCCTCATTGATTACCTGTACCGCTGTAAGCGATCAGCGCCGCGTATGGAAACCCAAAGGAGTTACAAATGCCTTTTCGGCCTTTTGGGGTCCTTAGGGAATTAAGAATGTGTTATCGATATGACTCATATTACGAAACACAGCACAATCGTTGTGGTTTAAATAAAGTCAAAGTCAAAATTATTTATTTCAATTAGACCCATACAGGCACTTTTGAATAATACATGACATGACTGTTTACCCTTTACACAAGTGTGGGAGAGACAAGCTTCGGCCCAAATGGGCTTGACCGGAGTCATACCACGGCCTCACAGAAAACAACCACAGCGTGGAATGGACTGTAGTATACATGGACATTTTTTAGCCAAATCCCTTGCCTTCCCCATCCCTTTCTAATCCTTAAATATCCGAAACCCTCATACCCGAAAGGCCGGCTACGCACTTGTTACTACTTTGGTGTTGCGGGTGTCCATGAGCGGCGCCGATTGCTTACCATTAACCAATTCGTCTCCCTGTTTACCGACCTATCCCATAACAAAAGAACTTATAATTTAAGCTTGATACCATAATATGTACTTTGCAAGATACCAAGACCCCATTTAAAATTTAATCAAAAATTCGTTACACAGTACCGCACTTTTATTTTGAAGCCATGTAGTAGGAGGAAGCCCATTGTCGTGTAAAAGGCCTCATTGCATTGTTATTTAAATAATTTGAAACAAATAAGTTATTTAAAAGTTTCCATTCCATTCATAAATCTTTTACAAGAGTTCGAACAATGAAACCGGCCTATTTTCTTTCGGGATGGTTTGGAAGAAAGATGCTAACTGCGTTTGTAATCTTTTGATAATATCCTTCCGGGGAGGTCGCAATTAAATTGTTCTAGGATGAGTTCTTATATAAAAAAAATAACTTGTGTGCAATAGAAATTATCTGAAGAAGAGATGCTTTAGCACAAATGGGCCGGCTTGATTGGAGTGATACCACGACCTTACAGGAAACCGACGTGAAGCAACGCCTTTTAAGGTGCGATTTCCAAACTAAGGGCCACGCATAGACATAAAATATTATGTTTATTAGGCTTATAGTGCAGCAGTGTTTGCTCTTGGTTATTTGATAATCAAGTGACAAAATCGGTTTCAGATAACAGAATAATTATTTAAAACAGGTAAAAAATTCCTGTTATTTACATTTAGTATTTGCTTTCATTTGCATTGTAAATCAACACAAAGTCTTTTGATTTATACTTTTGTAGGTATTTCATAATATATTACGTGACTGCCTTTTTAGTCGACTAGCAGTAAAAGCGACAGCCAAGCAAGGAGTGCATTGCCAGATCGAAATAAGTATTATGAAGTATTTTTTTTCTAAAATCTTATAGTAGCACAAAGTTTGACTTTATCTACAGACAAAAAATAATACCAAATTCCATTGTAAAGTGAAAAATATAATGAAGAAACAAATACATATTCTAATTTACACTATTAATAGAGGCAGAAATCGACTGTATAAAAAAATGCGATTCGAATTGAGAACCTCCTTATTTTGAAGTCGTTTAAAAATGGAATAAATCTCTATGGCATGCGTGTTGCCACGTTATTAACTAGTTACTCATAACGGAGGATTGTAAATTAAAAACGGATGCGCTAGACTTAGATCATCTTACCCGAGTTACGCCTGTCGCCAACAAACTATGGCAATTAACTTTTTATCTTCCTTGTAACATTTACATAGTAATTGCTATCTGTTAGTTAGCATTATGAGGGAAAATTGTTGCCTTGTTTATTAGCAAAGTGTTGGCAACATTAATTAAATGATAAAACCTGTTTTTTTTTCTCGGTAGCTAGATTTCTTCCTGGGATAGATAAGGTTATAGACAGACGCCCTTTGTGACTTGTCCGTTATCTTATGAGTTTTGTATTTTAAGATGTATAAAGGCTTTATTCTGGTACTAAGCTAAGCCAGCTTTGCTTCAGCTTGCATTCGACTGGATTTAATAACCATTGAATGACTCTGAGTACGTCAGTTATTCGGAATATCGCTTTTAGGAAGTCCTTGCATATTTTATGAACGCATTTTTGAAAATAATATTTTTTTTTACTTAATGAACAGTAGTATACATGGACATTTAAAAAAAATAATGTATGGTTTAATGTAAATAATGTGCTCTATAAGGTACCTTATTTAAACGTTACGAATTTTTCACTTCCAGAGTCTACTGTTAGTAATTCTCAGCGACTCGTTTTCTTTTCTTTTTCTTTCGCTAAGGGCATTTGGCCGCTATCATGGACGGTGGTAAGCAATGGTGCGGCCTACGATGGACCACGCCTACACATTTTTTTTTTTTGTGAGGGGAAAATCATTAAATGACTTCTCCCGCCCAGGGCCGGGCAGGAGGGAGTGTCAGACTCTTACTGACTAAAAACCCCCCTGTTCCTTCTCCTGCTCTGTGCCGAGGTCGCGGTACCTCATTGCGCTTACCCCGCAACCCCGGCTACGCCTACCCATAAGCAACCTATTCACTCGGGTCTTGAAGACACCCAGGTTATGATACCCTTCAGGAAACATAGACTACGGCTAAATTAAGTAAATTGGAAGGTCAATTAAATTATAACTTTTTCTGACGCACAAGATAATTGGACGCAAGTTACACAGCAACCACGTTTGCTTTTTATACGCGCGGTGCTTACATTTCTATTCTATTCATACTTGTACTGTGAATAATATAAAATTAAATACAATCACCTTTTGAAGTTGGGATAGTGATTACACCAATAATTAGTATTTGTTTTAAGTTGTTTTAGAAGGAGTTATCTTCTTATTCCTTTTGAAATAGTTAGACTTCAGTAACTGATAGTGACCGTAACGCCCGTGGTACAGATTCAATTCTATACAGGCACCGTAATGTTATTTACCTAGATTAATTAAAATGTAAGACCTAATATAAGATATTTATGTACAAACGTAAATAAATAAAATTTGATTGATAAAACTTGACATAAATCTCAATTAAATTATTTTTCTTTCTTTCTTTTCTTTTTGACGACCTGCATCAGGATTGTCTTGACGGCACATTTTAAGAGAAATATCAGATTAATCTTGGACTTGTGAAATTGTGTATGTTAATGACAGATCTTCTATTAATTTAGTCTCAGACGAAAAATTACGAATGGATAGGAAGTTATGAAATATAAGTTAAACTTATCTTAATTTGCATTTTAGTATTTCTTACAAAAAATATTATCAAAATTCTTAAATAGTATAATATAATTTTATTTAAAAAGTAAGTTTTTGTACGTCGCCATAGTTCTTGTAAATATTTTTTTCTTGTAGAGAAAATTAAAAAAAAAATACTTTTAGATGAAATATTTTTCTTAGGCTAAAAATGTAATATACATGCAAATAATTCAATGTTATTTGAAAACGAAATAAATCATTCTTTCTTATTACCTATTTTAAGTATTGTAAAACGAAAATATAGTATTTAGACACAAAACGCATTAAATTTAACTCTAATGAAACCTTTCAAGAGATTACATGTCAAAAAATCTATCCTCCATAAAATAAAAACAAAGGCGGTTGTATACAGTCTCCATTTTTAAATATAAAACCGCAAAATGTACGGAATGGAAGTTGTCAAATCACATTTTATGAAAGATAATCTCTGTTGAAGCGGCTGCCGCTAACTTCTTGTAAGTACTTTGTAAATGTTTGTTATAAAAAGTTTTTATTGTGGATCACAATATGTAAAAATGGTCTTACAAGTTACAAATATTGACGAGATTACGCCATGAAGGTTTTAGTTCTTTTTCTTTTTTTTTAAATGATGTGTTTTTTTGTCATCTTGCTAGCTTGTCCTACAGTTCTTTTTTTAAATGAACAGTAATTCAAATATACAAGCTTGGGATGCCAAATTTTAAAATAGTTTTTTATTTATATTTTTATTTTTAAGAATGCAGTGTTTTGTTTGATGTTTTCTTTTTCTATGTTATATTTGTAATAGACAAAAAATCGCATAAAACATGCTTGGATATTTTTTATAATTTTATTTTTAAAATTTTGGTTTGGAGGTCTTAAATGAATAAATAAATAAATAATTTATTTAAGTTTACAATGTAATTCAGCATTGTAAAGTAACAAAGAAATAAAAGCCTACAAAATGTTGTAATAGAAAACATGTATTGAACTGAAGTTTTTAACTTTTAATAACTTTGCGTGTACTTTGAGCTTAGTTTTTCGAAGAATACCTCTGTTTCCTTGAATAATAAATTCGCCGAAATTATTAATTTAAATTATTGAATATGATTTTAATTTTTGCAACATATTCGTAGAGGTGATTTTAAATACTTATTTATTTAATTTTATTATGCGTTAAAATAAAATAATAAAAAAAAACAAAATTGAAATAATCCATTTAAAATCATTCCTAAAACCATCCGTAAAAAATCCAAAGTTAGAAAAAAAAACTAATTTTCAGATGAAATAAAAAATCAAATAGAAAATAATAAAACAAACAAAAAATTTGGAAAAAAGTATAAAATGCGTCACTTACCCGAAAGCCATTGTTGCTGTGTTGTCGTTTGCTACGAAGGTGCTACAGTGCTACGCTGCTACGCTTCTGCCGTTCGTAGCAAAGGCCCGAGCTTTATATTCGGCGTAGCGCCTCCCTCGCCCCGCCCTCTTGCACATTTGCACACATATTGTCCTTTATTGAAATTAATTGTTATTTTTTGAGTAAACTAAGGAAGCAAATGATATTGTTTATTCTATTTTGGGGGGTAAACAGGTAAATTAAAAGGGGGTCCCTATTTTTGTGGTATATTTTCTTAGTAAGTAATCTCTGGATGGAATGACGTAGGTTTTGTGGGAGGTTCGTTGGAGATAATTCGTTTACACACCATATTGTGGTTTGGGGATAACGTTTTACGTGGTATTTTTAGTGAGAGGGTGCATCTACATAGTTCGTGTAGTTGTGTTGTTTTGAAATAGTAATACATGTGTCGTTAAAAAAATGACAATTGTCATAAATGTGATTGCCATCATTTCTGGATATTTCGATTTTTTTATGTATCGAATTGAAATGGGTAGATGGATTGAATGTATGTCATATATTTAGTTGGAATATGATCTCATCTCAGAAGTTAAAAAACGGTAAGTTTAATTTCATTTGCCATCTTAAGAATTTTTAATCAATTTATTTATTTTGTATTTTGTATAGATACTAGAAAAAGGACATAGAAATTTCAAATTAAAATTCAAAAGATTAAACTCCTATTTACCTACCGACTTCATTTGCTAATGTTGCCGACAAACCTACGTAGCTTATACATATGTAGGTGTAGTAGGGAATATGTTTTCTACAAATTAAGTTCTATATTCAAATATATCTAGAACGGTACAAAGAAACTATTTAGAATAGAACGGGCTCAAAAAGAAAGAGAGAAGAGAAGAAAAAATCGTCAAGATGCCCTTTCTTATTTGTAGTATTTATTTGTATTAAGTTAAGCCGCGGTTACTTGTTTCTGTGGGTGGCGTAAAGAAGATAAATGCTTATTGACAATTATTGCTTTTAACTTACCAATTCATCTTTCAACGCGTCCTTTGTTATATTGCTAGGGCACTCTTGAGTTTAGCTTAGAAAAAGAAGTATTTATGTATTCAGTTAAAAAAGTAATATATTATGTAAATAATTTATTTTTGGTAACATTTTTTTTTTTATTTATATTTTATTTGATAGTTTGTTAAGTTGAATTTTGCATTTAAATTTTGATGCAGATCTTCAACAGATTGAGCTGAGTAAACTTTGTATGCACGTTTAGTTTGCATGACCAAAAATGAAATCTAAGTAAAAAATATATCAGTCGAGGTTGCGGGGTGAGCGCATTGAGGCACCGCGACCTCGGCCCAGGGCAGGAGAAGGAACATGGGGTTTTTAGTCAGTAAGAGTCTGGTCTGGAAGAGACACTCTCTCCCGCCCTGCCCTGGGTGGGAGAAGCCATTTGATGATTTTCCCCTCACAAAAAAAGTGAAAAATATATGTATCTCTGAAGTCTTTAGTCTTCATTCTTATTGACCTATCTGATAAAAATATTTTTTTATTTAATTTCATGATTCCTTGGAAATTTAAGTAATGAAGAACCTATAAGTAATTAAATTTCTGTAACCTGTTTATTTCATGAGTCTTAGTTAAGTCTCTTAGTTCTGATAAGCCAGTAAAATCTAAGATTTTCTACTACTTACTTATTATTTCCTAATATATTAATCTGTAACAATTTGATGAATGTATTTCGGGTAATCTAGTGTAGTATTTTGATGGATTTTCCAAAAATAAATTCTGGAAGATAAGAAATAATTTATGAAACAAACATAGTGACAAATCATCTACTTAAAAGACTATTCCCATGTCGTAACAGGTTGTAAGAGCCGTCAAAACATTTGGACAGCACTCACGGCGCAGCGGGGTGCAATCAAAAGGTGCCATAAGACCAAACATTATTACCCACAGCCTATTTATTTTCACCGACATTTAAGTAAAGTGTTGTATCGATAAATTAATGTTTTCCGTGACAATAGAATTTAATACATTCGGTCATTACCCTGGTCTTTCTTTTGGCAGTGCTCGTGGTAACCCTGAGGTTAAGGCGCTCGTTTTTCACCCATGAGTCTGGGCTGGAAACCTAGCCAGCATTGAAGGGGCTTTTACTGGAGTCATAATATGAACTTTCTAAAGTCATCTTTCTTTCTTTTGACACTGTGGAAGTTGTGAGAAAATTTTGTTGGGAGACCTGTGAGGGTAATGTGTAAAATTATCAAATGATCTTCGTGATGTGAGAAACAGAGACTTAAAGCACCCCCATTCTTCTCCTTATGTAGACTGTGGCCGTGGTTCCTTATGGACTTATCTATATATACAAATCAATACCACTTTTCGTTATAATGTAATAACTCAACAACGTCTTTACCGATTTGGCTAATTTTGGTCTTGAATTAATCATGGAAGTCCAGAGAAGGTTTAAAAGGCCAAAACAAATAGTTATATTTGAGGCACTACGGAGTTCGCCAGGTCAGCTATATATTTTAAGTTTTAAATCGCCAATCCGCGTTAAGCAACCGTGATCCAAGTGAGAAAGGTCTTTGCTCAGCTGTGGACTCTTATAGACTGATGATAATAATGATGGTCTCTCTTACTTCTCCCATCAGGTATTGTATATATGCAACTAGACCGGGAAATGTTTTAAATAACCTTAAGCTTTTAAACTACGATCTTGAATGTGCTTAAACAAAAGGCAAACCCCCAATTTTAAAATGGAATATGTAATTTAAGAAAAAGTGACTTTGTTTTATACTATGTAGTCAACAAAAAAGTGACTTTGTTTTATACTATGTAGTAAACATAGTATAAAACAAAGTCACTTTCTCTGCCCCATATCCCTAAGTATGCTTCAATCTTTAAAACTACGCAACGGATTTTGATACGGTTTTTCTTATAGATAGGGTGATTGAAGAAGAAGTTTTTTATGTATAATAACATCCATTAAGTAGTGGAGGAATTCAGAATTAATGAAAGAATGAATTCCATTACACCCGTCGAAGCCGAAGCGGGTCACTAGTATTATATAATTGTATTGTTATTTATCCTCAAAATGTAAAAAGAGTTTTTTTTTTATAATCCTATCTTATTTATTAAATTACGACGAGTGAGGTTGAATTTAGATAGACTTGTTTCATTAAAGAACAGGCAGACAGACACATATTTTTACTTTTTATTGTTCAAATACTTTTAATTTTCTAAATTCGATTTATGGTTTTAATTGAAATAAAGTCTTTGATTTGAGGGGCCTGTACCACAATGCATCCAGCATTGTCAGATATTGTTTATATATAGAATTAAAAATTATCCGGCAATCCAGCATTGTGGTACAGGCAATATATAGAATTGAATTTTTAAGAACTACACATCAGTTTACCAGGCTACAAGATGACGACCTTCAATAATGATTTAATTTTTAGTGAGTTCATATAGAGAATAATATGTATGTAGTTGCATAGTATCTAATTTGAAAAAATTGAATAGTATTTTTTTTAAAGACGTTGACCTACACTACTATTTCCTCTTGTGTCGTGAATGCGTTTACAAACATACACTTTCACATACACATCACACGCAGACCTAGAACGATATGTAGATCACATTATTAATTATGCATTATTTTATTATCATAAGTGACTATTTTGGAATTATAAAAATATGTATAAAACTGTAAAAGAGTACATGAATAATTTTGAACAACATTAATGTCCAAGAGATATTCTCTACAACGAAAATGACAGTAACCAACTGCATTCACAAACAATGAGCTTAATAAATATTAAAACAGCTCTTACGCTTGTAATTAAAGTTTTCAACTAATTCCCTAACTAATCACACTTTTGTTTGATCTTACAAACATGTCCCACCAAGACAGGGCTGTGTATAAATACACATTAAGAAAAAACGGCTTCATATTATAATGAGCATGTTTTAACTGCGGGCGTGATATAACGCTTACGGTGTATACGCGTGAGTGAGGTTGCTGGAGGTCCAATTTCATCTCTCTTCGCCCCTCTTAACGTTTAGACGGACTATCTGATGGTAAGCAATCAACGCCGCTATGGACACCCGCAACACCAAAGGAGTTACGAGTGCGTTGCCAGCGTTTGTGGTGGTAGGGATTGGAGGATATATTTTTTATTTGTGAGGGGAAAATCATCAAATGACTTCTCCCGCCCAGGGACGGGCGGGAGGGAGTGTCAGTCTCTTACTGACTAAAAACCCCCCTGTTCCTTCTCCTGCTCTGGGCCGAGGTCGCGGTGCCTCATTGCGCTTACCCCGCAACCCCGGCTGAACATCAGCCCTATGGGACCCGTATGTGGTGGTCTATTGATTCTTTGAGGCGCGCGCGGAACGCTACGCACCGTACGCTCGGGTGGAGGGTGTGGACTGAGGAATTGCGAGAAGAATTTCTTTTGGTAACCTGATTCACACGGTGAAACCCAATACAAGCACTGTTTAACACCGTATTTCAATGAGGCCGTGGTATCACTCCAGTCAAGTCAACCTTTTCATACCGAAGCATGGCTCTTCAATTATGTCTATTTCAAACAATTTTCCTTTTCTTTTCATCAGTTCTCGGCCTTCCTTTTGAAGCATAAAATAATGGGTTCAGTACATGTTACTTATATTTTATTCATAGAATCAACACGGTGCCCACACGGGTGTTTACTCGCAAATTGTTTTGTCGAATGCAAGGCCCACAATGGAGATCATTCCTGTCTCTATTTAGTTTAACCCTTTTATTGTTTTAACTTCAGTAACTACCTACATGGTACGTGTATAACTGGCTATATATAATACCGAGGCCATTTAGTAGTAAAAATAAAAAAAAGTTCTAGAAGCTTCTTCATTAATAAGAAGTTGTTATTCTTAGATGGTGCCGTAGTTGTTTGGACTGCACAGTTGTCGTGGTTGGGAAACTGGCTTCCGTACAACGTGTCCCGGTTTTGATTCTTGCATGGAACAACTCTTTGTGTGATCCGTAAATGAGTTTAAGTGTGATATGCGCGGCATAAGAGAAAATATAAAA